CATGATTGTCTGAGATCAAATCAGCCCCCCACAATGTCCCACAGCACATCCCCATGTATTGGAAACGTCTCGTGATAATAACATCATTATTTTTGGTATTATCATCGGGATACATTTCCAATATATGGTGGGAATGTGTTGTGGGACGTTGTGGGGGGCTGATTTAAACTCTGGTTGTCTACCCTTATATGATAAAGGCATTGCCTTTGACTCAAGAACAAAAAATATTTTGGTTGTATCCATTCCAATACTGTATTCAAGCCTTATGGTCCGTTTGGTTGCTAATAAATAGTGGGATGAGAAGGGATGGGAATCATGGGATGAGAAAGGAAAATTATTTTCTTAATTTTGGTATCCTGTGTTTGTTTGTTGAGACTTGTTATCATACAAAAGTTGTTTTTCAGTGTTTGGTTGATGAGAAAATTTGATAGAAAGAGGTAGACATTGGAAGCCAGATCTGGAGCTTAGACATTAAAATGAACTAAAATGGTTGTTGACATGGAAGAACGACACCTCTAACAGTAGATTTACCATTTTTTTTGTGAATGGAAACTAGTGTAGACAAAGAGGTAGATGCTGGATCTATAAGAGGTAGACATGAAAAAAAAAACCAGATCCAAGTTCATTTTAACGTCTAGTGCTAATAAAACTACCAGACATGGAAGAGGTAGACGTCGGAAGCCTGATATGGAGCTCATGCGTTAAAATGAATGGAAATTGCTATCAACATGGAAGAACGATGCCTCTAACAGTTGATCTACCATTTTTTTTGTGAACGGAAACTGGTTTGGAAGACCAGGGATTGTGGCAGACAAATGTGAGATTTGAAGTGGGATTCATTCAATGAATGAAGACAAATATGGTACAAAAAATGGGTGGAAATCGAGAGAGGATGCCAAATCTGAGCTAAACTTTTGAAAAACTCACCGGAGATGGTGTTGGTGAGATGACTGTTAGACGACATCTGAGAAGAAGACGACGCTCTTTGGGTTGTTGGCTCGACAAGATTTTTCCACAAAGGCCTCTATTTTCCTTTCTCAATAGGGTCTCACCATTTTGGTGTGACCCCGGGTATTGGTTTTTGGGAAACCCCATCCCAAGTCTTTCTCTTCCCATCCAAGCTTTTCTTTTAAAACAAACAATAGGAAAATCGAATAGTCTTCAAAGATTCTTCCCTTCCCATCCCTCTCTCAGCAACCAAACATTGCAGTATTGGTATGCTAAGAGTGATATTTCAAATATTTCTAATAATTTTTAATACCATTGTTGAACGACAATTAGGTATGCCTATCAAACAACTTCAATTAGATTGAGGGAGGGAATTTTTAAAACTAAAATATCTATTTGACAAACTTGGTATTATTCACCAAATTTAATGTCTATATACTCTTGGCTCAAAATTGACTCACGACAAGACATAGGATATGATTGGTACTATTGTCATTTCTAGTTGAAACCCTACCACATCAGTGCCACCTGGGCATTTTGAATTGCAATGGGATTTTTTTTATTTGCTTGAGACTGTTTTAACTCCAAACAGTCAAGAAACATTTTGTTTGGAAATAACAATGAGGGGCGTTGGAGGAAATGTTAATTTGAGGTTTTTCCCCAACAACCATCACGTCTCACAATGTTTAAGTTGATATGGCAATTATCTGTCATTCGATTGATATGGTGCATCACGTATCATACAATACTTAAACATGATTGGTGTTACATTAGAGAAAAATAAAAATATGATAAAATCCTAAATTTGGAAAATTATTGTCAATTAGATTGGCATAACATTAATTGGAAGCATGATTGGTGTTACATAGAATTAAAAAGTTTACTCTAAACACTTCAACATGAAAATATGACATATCAAACACACGTATCTACTATAAATGCCTAGGCAACATTTCTATTGAGACTATAAACATTAAATGCCTGTTCATTTGCTTTGAAGATTGACATATAAAAGTGCAATAATTACATTAAAAAGTATATTGGTATTAGTGAACTTTTATTTTCTTTGAACTATGAATGCGGAGAATGTTGTTTTGAATTTTGAAAATGATCAAATATCCATTTTGATCCCATATATGGGAGTTTTTGTTTGTTTTTTTGGGGGTAACATTGGAAAACAAAAACTTGTATGAATGCACTTTAAAAGATAAGAGATAAGAGGAAATGAACAACCATTTTTCTCTTAAAGTTAAAAGGATCCTCTTAAGAGATAAGAGTTAAATGAAACAAACAAGCTTTAAGTATATGTTTGATTCTATAGGAGTTTATTGAAAAAACACCACCACATCAGTGCCACATAAGCATTGGTGTTTATTGCATATGAAAACCAATATTTGGTTTCACCGTTTATCAAATAAACATTAGGAAATTGAAATGCTTTGATTTATGTGCATGGGGCATTTGGGAAAATATCAAATTCATATTTCTCCCAATGAATGGCCATTTTTTGAGATGAAATGTTGATGTGACACACTTTATCTGAGGTGAAAAGCAACTTTATGGGGTGTTACTTGAAACACTCATAAAACGTCAAACCAAATAGAAAAGACAAAAAATGTTTAAAGTAGCATTTTTCAGATAAATGTTTATCTAAAAAAACGCCTCTCAGGAAACACCCATGAAATCAAACATATACTTAGAGGGTATGATTCCGTTTATGTTTATTGAGTAAACGTGTTGTGCTTGTGTGGTTGCAAAACCGAGAGAAGTAATTAATGAGGGTGTTTATGACACATAGATGCGCCATTAGGCACTACATCAACAAAATGCCAATAAACGCCAACCCGTTTCAAGAAGCTCCAAAATGAAGCTTACTAAAATGGGAGAGGCACAAAGAAAATAAAGTTTGCTTTTGCAAACATTGATACATACAAATGCAATTAATGAGACATTTGCTGACAGGGCGCCTATGTGGCACCGTTTACTCAATAAATGTAAACGGAACCAAACATATACTTAGTGTTAACCAATCACATTTCTCCTCTAACCATTGAAACTTGCACCACCCACACTACTCAAAACGGTTCAATCTGAAATGTCAATGATAACAAACACAACCATAACAGGAATATTTTCAATGCCATTCATGGGAGATGTTTTCAATACACGACAATAATATCTTTGTGGGTAGGGATGTGAGAAGAATTTATAGACAAGAGATCAGGAAATGTAATGGACATGAGCTGGCCCTTCCTTGCTCACTTATCTACACCCAAAAATATTTGTGAGAAGCCTTTAGAACTGTTGTTTATTTGATAAACAGAATTCACACTCCACTCCTTCACAACCACACACCTTTGAAACTACTCTTTCACAAGAGGCATGATTACAAGGAGTTCAGATTAGTGCCCCATAAAGTGCATTCCACATACACATCTCATCATCATATGTCCTCAATACACGGTTGTGATGTCTTGTGGGGTGTATACTCTTTGGGTGCCCGTGCAAATTCAACCAAGAATAAGGATTATTGGGTGTAAATGATTTTTTCGTACATCATACCATGTGTTTCTAAGCTATAGTGATTAGTGAGATTGAGGGTTTTCTCAAATCATACATCGTATAACCAAATTTGGTATAAAGTTAACAAAGATAGAAAGGATACAAAAGCTATTATATCAAAGCTTGAAATGTTCTTAATGGAGGCCTTGAGACAGTAATCTTCTTAAATTAGTATGGAGGTCTGGTCATGAGGTCTTTTGGTCAGAAGCCTTCTTTAACATTTTTTTCCTTCTCTAAGCTGTCTTTGCTGGGCAGCTACTCAACAGACATGACCCACCAGCTCTCTGCAATCACATTTTCAAAGCCATTTGTCCCCACATTCTCTGACTTACAAAAACATCAGACGGCTAGTATGAGTTTGATCTATGCACTTGTCCCTGTGGGAGTGGGACCCTCTTATTCTGGAACTTGACACGTGCACCACGTGCATTAGCCTAGACAGCAAAAGAGCATCTCACGGTACCCCATAAAACATCTCCCGTGCCTTCCGTCAAGCACTGCTTAACTGCAAACATTCTCTATTTAGGATTATGCACGAGAAGATATTCCCAATACATGAATCTGGCAGCGGGTCGATTTTTATTGAACCCGCGCTGATGTAACCCTATCGGGTTAGGATTGGGTCAGCCTTAATCGGATTTTGAGTTGGGTTGACCAATGTTAAATCCGACCAATTTTGGTTGAAAAAGGATAGGTTCGACATCTTCACAGCCAATCCCATCTGGTAACCCGTAAAACCGGATCCATTTTCATGTTTTCAGTAATAATGGAATTTGAGCTGCCAAAGGGATTCTTTTAGATGTGATGTAACATATCTTCATTCATACACCTAAACCCATTTGATCTCTAACCATCGTTCAAAATAAAGAAAGGCCCCACCAGACCAAACTGTTTCTGGAGCGTACGGATCCCTCGATGCACCAAATCAACCTCTTCTTTGGAAACCAACGATTAAAGTCATTAATAATCAAGATTCTCTTCCGGAACTTGACGATACGAGGTCAATCATCATACGACACGTCATCCAGGTAAGTGTCGGTGCTCCCATGCACACGCCATCATCCGCGTTGAAAGTGCGACGAAAATGGCTGTAGCCTCCTGTCCCACGGTTGGCTCCTACTAACATTTTTAATGATAACTCACATGCGCGTTACGTATTGACTCTCAGATTAGAATCTGATTGTGGGCTTTTATTCCATTCCGACACTTTGACATCAAGTCCGCACGTACACACGGGCGTTGTCAAGTGCTTTCGTTTCAAATGACAAAATGGTCACCAACAAAACCTATTAGAACACTCTCTTGCTCCCACAATCTCAGTGGCAATTGACGTAAATAGTAGGGATTCCATGGGCAAAATGACATTATGAATTAATATTAAATGGAAAATCCACGTTACGTTGGGGACGTACAGCTCATCGCATCGAAGCCATTCACATGGAGCGTAAATAATGGGGAGTAGGGTCGGATAGAGGCCGAGAGTGGCCAACTTCACTCCACGTAACCACCTCCTCCCTCTTCCTTAAATACCCTTCTCATTTTCTTCTCTTTCTCTTCTCTTTCCGACGAACGTATCCCGCTGCTGCTCCTGCATTTGTTTTCATTGTCTCATTCTGTTTTGCATTCTTCACCGGCGAACGTTAGTAACCGGAAGCAACAGTGGGAGATCTGAGAATGGCTTCACCGGCGAGAGTGGATCTTGACGGGAACCCCATCAAGCCGATTACAATCTGCATGATCGGTGCCGGAGGGTTCATCGGCTCGCACCTATGCGAGAAGTTGATGGCTGAGACTCCCCACAAGGTCTTGGCGGTTGATGTGTACAATGACAAGATCAAGCATCTTCTGGAGCCCGCTTCCCAACCCTGGGCCGATCGGATCCAGTTTCATCGCATCAACATCAAGCATGATTCCAGGCTCGAGGGGCTCATCAAAATGGCAGATCTGGTTTGTTATAGGTTTCCGTTTTTGTCTTTTTCCGTCATTGTTGACTTCTTCCGTTTTCGTTGCCATTGGTGTCGATTGGAGGAAGTTGATCTGTATATTGCCGATTAATGCGGTTTCTTGCATTTAGACTATCAATCTTGCGGCGATCTGTACTCCAGCGGATTACAATACCCGTCCTCTTGACACAATTTACAGCAATTTTATCGATGCACTCCCGGTGGTAAGCGTTTCGGATTACTTATTACGTATCTTGTTCGTTAATCGCTCTAGATTTAATCCGTTGACTGATTTTGATGCATGTGGATGGGATTTGTTCAGGTGAAGTATTGCTCAGAAAACAACAAACGTCTCATTCACTTCTCTACTTGTGAAGTTTACGGGAAAACGATTGGAAGCTTTCTTCCTAAGGATCATCCTCTACGGCAGGTATCGTGCTAGCCTTTCTTCTTCATTCGTTCAATTTATTTTACATTTGTAGAATTCAAGTTTTGCTCTTGATCTTCCTTCTTGATGATATTTCATATTGATTGCTTGGATGCCAAAATCGGATATTTTGTTCATGGGAATTTGTATTTGTACGAGTTTAAACAGTGCTTCAGATGCTGCACTCTTCTGGATTTTACGTGATTCAATAATCACCAGGCGGGGATAAACTTCTTTTTTGCGGCTTGCCGTTTTTCTAGATCTAATGACATTTTGTTTTGTGTATTGGAATTACCTTCCCTGTTGTGATTGATAGCACCTGAATCTCTTCGGGGTTGAATTTTAAATGTACGTTTATGCTCAAGTATCATGATTTGGGCTTCCTGAATCACGAAATGGTGTAGTAGAGCTCTAGTGGTAGTGGTCGAGCTGTTGGATCATGTTGGGTTCAACATGTCTCAGATTTGGTTTTAATTGTAATAAAATTTAGGATACAGATCAGAGGCCTTCTATTTATGCTGGTAGTTAAGGCAAGGGTTTGATGTGATTGATTTTTACTAAAAAAAGAGAGTATCTGAAAAGAAAAAACCATGGAAGAAAAAAAAACATCAGAAGGTGCTTGGTCCGGTTTAATTGGGATTTAAGGTAAATTACTTCTTTGACTTTTTTGCACACCAACCCCCACACATATATAGTACATTTGGATCTTATGATTTATGTATTGATGGTGACATCTAAGAGGACCTTTGTAATCTTTTAGGATGTGTCAATCTTCATAATTATTATTTTTTGATAAAAAACGGTAACTTTCATTAGTGATTAGACAGATTAAGAGATGCATGCCTGGTGCTTATGGAGTGCTCCATATGTGTGGGGGTTGGTGTGCAAAAAAGTGTTTCATTTACAGTGTAGTTTCATTTTACATTAATAACTAATGTCCAGGCATGTTAGGATATCTGAGATGCATGCCTGGTGCTTATAGAGTGCTCTATATGCTCTTCAAGTTTTCTGAGACTGTAAATGAAACTACACTGAAGCTGGACAAGCAATTAGTCTTACTAATATTGCCATTTTCTTAAGCTTTACCTTGAAAAACAGCCCTTCTTCACTTATTTCTTCCCTTCCTCTCCCTGATCTCACCTGATAATGTGTACTTTGTTTGAGATACAATGTCCTATTTACAGGAAGCAGTTTTTATGTGCTAGTGTTCTTTAATTGAAATCATCATAGCTCCATCAAAAGAGGTTGGATCCACAGGGGATCTTCAATCCTGTGGATATATCATGGCCTTTGATTAAGTTAGTTTCCAGGTGTTTTTTTTTTCCTTCAATACTTGTTATTCTTTATCAATTATGATGGTTAACCAGGTTGAAATGAGAAATTGTACAAAATGCATTTGACAGATTAGGGGTGACTGAAACGGGTGATAACTGTCATGATATCACCAGAAAGGACTAATTTCATGCACATTGAAGGATTTAAAAGGATAACACCTATGTGGGCTGAGCTAGTAAGAGAAGATTGGTTGGTATGCATTTTAATAAGAGATAGACTAGGCGGCTGTTTGGCATCGTTGCCGTTTCCTGGAGCAACGGCGCCACATCGGAAAAAACGGTGCTCCAGGAAACGGACATTTGTTTGGAACCATATTTCCATAAAAAACGGTTCCCCAAGCCACACCTTGGAAATTGGGAAGCCATGGCTTGGAGCAATGCCAAATTTGGCATTTCCTGGAGCTGCAGCTCGTTGCTGCCAACAGGGCAGTGATGTGGCACTGGATAATGGGTACCAGTGCTGAAAACGTTTCCTGGAGCATTGGTACCAAACAGAAAAAGTTGCTGTTGCTCCAGGAAACGTCTTACCTGGCGGCAACGGTTCCAAACAAAAATAAAGGCACCGTTTTATCAGAAAATGGTGCTTCCAACCACACATCAGCAGCACCGTCTGCAGCATTGATGCCAAACGTATACTAGATGGGTAGGAATGTCAGAATGGAGCCATACTTGTAAGGAAAAGGTGATATGGCAAAATATGGTTATCCTTTTTGTGTTGTAAAGTAAGCTGGAATATGTAAGATATCTCATGGTCACCCCCATACTCCTATTGTTAGATTAGATGATTTTATTCTCATGTATCTCATTGAGAGAGTAATTTAACAACTTATTGCCAAGGGAAGGCCAATGGTTAAGTAAATACGTCTTGGGGGCTTTCACATAGTTGAATTAGAAGTTCGGATTTCTACCTTTGTTGATGAGGGTAGGATGTGGGACATCACATAGTGAGTTTACTGTAACTACAAGTAGAGGCCATTGCTTGATGAATTGGTAAAATCTTTGGGTTAACAAGCATGAGAACACAGATTTGATCCTGAGAGTAGCCACTTTGTGCCAAAAAAAAAAAAAAAAAACTAAAAAAGCCATAGGTTATGTTTGTATCCCTGGTTGAGCATTTATGTTAAGGAGTCTACCCCTTTGTCCCCTCCCAAGCTGTGTAGTTTTTTTCATTTTCTGGGTTAGTAGGTGGAACATTTTGGTTATGGGGCTGGTTCTCTGTTTGACCTGGGCCATGCTGGGTAGATTTGTCTGTTGTTGTGGATGAGTGACAAGCACATGCTCTGTATGTGCAGGTATTCTATAGAAGGCATACAACCTCTCAAGTTGGAGAATGTTATTTTTTGCTTCTTGTGTTCCGATCCTTTCATTTCTATGATTTTAATGAAAGGAAAAGGAGGAATATTTGAGTTTGTTAAGAATTCCAATTTATGGATGTGTTTTATGATGAAACAGGATCCTGATTTCTATGTCCTCAAAGAAGATTTCTCTCCCTGCATTTTTGGTCCTATTGAAAAGCAGAGGTGGTCCTATGCATGTGCAAAACAACTGATTGAGCGGCTCATTTATGGTTAGTGCACATGCTACATTATCTAGTAATAAATTTCTTATCAGGTACTCGTATTAGTCTTCTTGGACATTTAAGTAATTTGAACTTGTTGCAGCTGAGGGTGCGGAAAATGGCCTCCAGTTCACCATTGTAAGACCTTTCAACTGGATTGGTCCAAGGATGGATTTCATTCCTGGGGTTGATGGTCCAAGTGAAGGTGTTCCTAGGGTTCTAGCATGCTTCAGTAATGTAAGTTCAGTTTCTGCTATTAAGTGCAGAACATGCGGGTAATTATAATGCAGTTCTTTTTAAACAAGTTTGCCATTTTGTTCTGCAGAATCTCCTTCGTGGTGAGCCACTCAAGCTTGTAGATGGTGGCCAGTCCCAGAGAACATTTGTGTATATCAAAGATGCCATTGAAGCTGTTTTTTTGATGATTGTATGTGAACGATCATCTGATAATTTTCTTTTAAATTACTAAACCCTATATCTATTGTAAATTGGCATCTAAAAGTTTGATTATTACTCAGGAAAATCCTGCGAGGGCTAATGGTCAAATTTTCAATGTGGGTAACCCTAACAATGAAGTTACGGTGAGGCAACTTGCAGAGTTGATGACAGAGGTACTTAAAGAATCTTACATTTCTGTCTCTCTCTCTCTCTCACTCTAATTTTCTTGTGCATTAGTTTTCCACAGATCTGCTGCTAAATAAAAAATAATCAACTTGTTCTCTCCAGGTGTACTCTAAAGTAAGTGGACAGCCTCCTTTGGAGGTACCTACCATTGATGTAAGCTCTAAAGAGTTCTATGGTGAAGGATATGATGACAGTGACAAGCGAATTCCAGACATGACAATAATCAATAAACAGCTAGGTACTACTTCATTGGTTCATTGTAATATTTCACTCTTTAGATTGCTATAAAGTTTAGAAACATTGCCAGTAACTTTTTTATTTTGCCCTGGAATGCAGGTTGGAACCCCAAGACATCTCTATTTGATTTGCTGGAATCAACCCTCACCTATCAGCACAGGACATACGCCGAGGCTATCAAGCAAGCCATCGCAAAGCCAGTTGCATCCAGCTAAAGGCACACCGTGCATGGTGTGGTTGGTTTTGGGAAAGCTGGTTCTCTCGTTCAGGGTTGTTTTTCGGGAGGTCAATTCTTTTGAAGGAAGCATACACATATTGAAGTGGTTCATATATAATATAATTTTTTTTTTCCAGCGTAGTAGTAAGTCTGTATCTCCGCAATGAGTCTGTAATTCTCTCTCTATATATATATCACAAAAGATGACAGGTGACTTTGGTAGGGGGATAAATCTCATGTTTACTGTATTGTTGCTTAGAGCATCGTTGCTGGCTACTACGTTGGGGGGTTAGGAAGCCTCTTCTCTGTTTCCTAAGGGGTGTGCTTTATCTTTCTCTTTTTCTGTTCGTTTCTCCTCCATGGCGCTGTATTTTCTTTTTTTTTTTAACCTTTACCCATGCCATGCTCATGCTATTATTTATTATTTATTTTGAATTGTCTATTGCATGTAACACTTTGGCCCTTTCCACTCCAGAGAAGACTGAACGATTACTTGTATGGAAGAATAATTCTCAAGGTTTCAAAATGAGGAATAAATATAAACATGAAGTTTACTTCAATACTCGTCATATCTTATCAATCAAAAAACCGTTTCTCCTTTTCTGTCAATTGGGTATTTGAATTTGGAAATTACTTCACTGGTAATTCCTTTTATCGGATAATTGCAAGTTATTTAAACTATCGTGCTTGTGACAGGGGTCCATGACCCATTAAAACTTCGTATATTGTATTTCTAAATCTTGTAATAGCATTTTTTTTCAGGCTCAATTTGGGAAAAGTAGAAATACAATATGTACAGTACAAAACCTTGTACTTTCTGATTCATGGTATTAACGCTGGTCGAGTTGCTTGGGATAAACTGGTGACCTATCAGCTTGGATAAACAATATGGAACTCTTTGTAAATGGAGCCTCCAGGCCTTCGACTGGGAGTTGGGACCATCATATGAAATGCTCTGTGATCGTGACTAGGTGCCATGTGGGCGTGGAGCTGTTTATTGCTTTATTTTGTCGCCTTCTGCTTTGAGAAGTAAGGACTGATGTGGTACTCACCTATCACGTTCACGTGCACATGATTTTAGCTCTACCAAACTTTAGGCAATCCCCATCGGACAACATTTATGGTTCGGGCCGGGCTTCAGGGGTTCTCTGTTTCTCTGCAACCACACCAAATTTGTATAACTTGGTTTCTTAGATATTCCTTGATCGTCTGCATTACTAATCTTCCTTAAAAATTATTAGGGTCCGCTTGATTCACAGTTGGAATTGTAATTTGAATCGAAATCCTTTAGAACCAGAATCGAAATGGCCTATTCTCATAATCTGTTTGGTTCAGACAAGAATGAGAATAGGTATTAGAATTAGCAGGGATGAGATTTAATTCTCAAGGGAGGGGCAGGCAATGACCATTCCTTTAAATGGGGAAATGTCATTCCAATTTTGCCCAACCAAATAGTTAGAATCGGAATAGACTATTCCAATTCTGATTTCAAACCTCTATTCCTGCGAACCAAACAGGGCCTTAGATTATGCTGTTTTAGTTTCTCCAATAGAAAATTCAAGCCATATTTCATTCCTTTTATCATAGTATCTTTTGCGACAAAATAATCTCTATAATTTAATACCTAAAATATTCCAATCTGAAATATTTTAAACTCATTTTACAATCATTAATTGAGAGGAAATTAGGGCTCATTTGGTTCACTGGAGTTGGGGGTATGGAATTGGAACTGGAATGGGTCATTCCAATTTCATCTATTTGGTTGGGTGGAATTAGAATCTTATTTTCATTCATGGTGGAATGACATTCTCCCATTTGAGGGAGTGGCCATTCCCTCCTCCCTCTCCATTTAGAATGAAATCTTGTTCCAACTGATTTCAATTCCTATTCTGATTCCTGTTTGAACCAAGCAACCTATGGGAATAGGTTATTCTAATTGCGATTCCTATAGATTTTGATTCCAATTCCAATTTCAACTCTGACTGCAAGTCAAATGGATCCTTACGGGAATGGGAAAATAATTATTGGTATTGAAATCAAAACTAAAAAATTAATTTTTACAAGAAATGCTTATAAAGGAAACTACTTCATAAAAATTAAAAACAATAAAGAATATCTACCCTCTCCCAAACATACGAACAAGTTTAAAAGGTATTAAATTCACTCTCAATTTTAATTTTGTGCAAAATCAAATGTAAAATTTCTACTGATTTTATTTTATTTTATTTTTCAATTTTTAAATAATTGTGATTATGAATTCAGGATCCAATGAGTCAAATGGTTAGACCGGAGTTTGAACTTTGAACCATCACCTGTGCGACTGAGCCATCTCTTTTATTTATTCATCTATTTTTGGTACTTCTTTTTTTTTCTAATTTGTTCATCTTAAATTTAAAAACGACGGGATTGGGTGCATGTAGTAGGTGAGCGTGCAGCATGTTCCAACGAATCACCTCCTCTCCCCACCCCAAAAACAGAAAAAAGGAATCTAAAATATCAATTGCAATTAAATATTTTTATAAGAATGGAATTATGAATTTAATAAAATTAATAAAATAATACATATTAGACATTACATTTACATATGATATGTTCCACAGCGCAGCCTGCCTACACTTTGATTCTCAGTTGGTCAATGTTACGATGAATTAAAACCAAAATTCCACCAACCTCAAGTTTGTTGTTTGGATTCCAAATCTCTTGATGGCTTCCTTCTCTTCCTCCTGATTCATCTTCATATCGTCTCGAAATTTGGCAACGCCCGCCGGATCTCTTCGCGCTTAAGCTCTCTCTCCTCCGGCGACGGGTAGATGGCTCTCTCTCGCCTTCGTCAACTGGCTCTCTCTCGAGCTCCTCTCGTCTTGAGGGCCCGCCCTCTTACCACCTCCTGTAGATCTCTTACACGGTACTAATCCCCCTTTTTCCTCCATTAAAATGGTTATTCAACCTATTTTCGATTTCGTATATTTTATTTCAACACAAATACAGTTGCCTGCCTTTTGTGATTGATAATGTAGTTGTTTCGATTATATTTAGCGGCTTGATTCGTAGCTTTTTAGTACAGAAACCGTTACGGATTCTCTAATTGGATAGATGAATGCTTCCTAGACTCTTGTTGTGATTCAATAATGAACACGTCTTTTATAGTGTGAATTCCGAAACAGTATAAGAGCGGAGGAACGAAAATTACTAAATTCTTTTGAAGAGAGCTTTCTTCTAATGATTCATGAAGTCTCTCTCCTTTTTTTTCCGGTGTCCGGGGGGATTGGGTTTAGGGTCTTAGGGAGACAAAAACCTACAGTTGTTTTATTTGAAAATCAAAGGAGAATGTCAAGAAGTGCAAATTCACTGGGAGAACTTCTGTTTTGGGCTCAGTTGTAACTGATTTGAGAATTCACCGGAGAGCTAAGAGCTTCTCTCCCATTTCATTGTTGGTTGTACCATGTTTTGAAATTCTAATAAAGTTATATTTTTCTCTTTAACCATTTTGCAAGGGAAGCCTCAAGGTCTCAATGATTTTTATGCAATCCTATGGCCAGGATTAGAGGAAAAGGAAGACAAATGGCATTGTCAGAAAATGGATGAGTGGGAGGGAAATAGGTCCTTCCCTCATTCATGAGGCAAGATCCGTATTAGAGGTTGAAAAGTATAACAGACTAATGTAGATATATCACCACTTGCACAGCTGTTCAGTAGACATCCTTCATAGATATTTAAGTATGAATCTCAAAAATAGAACTACTTGTTTTGTGGTAAGGGTTGACTACAGGGCATGACAAAATAAAAAAGAAAATCATATGTAAAAGGGGAAAGGAAAGGGCTTTCAGGACTAGTGGTGTATGAACATAAGCCTATTTCTGAAGAAAAAAAGACCTATCTCTACTTGATTTTTTTGTTAATCACCAACACATCCAAGGAGTATCCCTGTTGCGACAACTGAATGTAATTTTAGGACTAATAAAAGGGTAAAGCAGAGAACCTCATGATTCAAAATGGTAATGGTTCTCTGAAGCAGGTTTTTGCATAAATCCTCTTGGTTAAGAGGAATACGGATTTGTTCCTCACAGAGTGCTCCTCACACCAACCTCACAGAACTTGCAGCTGCACATCGGGAACATCTCCTGTACTTGTATGTTGTCACACATGGGGGGATGTTCCCAATGCACAGCTCCAATATGTTGTGAGGTTGGTGTGAGGAGGAAATCCGAATTCGGTTAAGAGCACATGTAGGATACTGGTTTGGTCAAGATGGTATTCTAATAATCAATAAAACTTGCATACCTGTATACCCTTTTTTTCTCATAATCAATAAAACTTGATTGCTGCTGATAAAAAAACATCTTGGAAGCTCATCAGTAATCTTTTCCCATTTTCCTCTTTGCATACAATACCAAGTAGGAAAGTAGTATCTGACTATAGTGTAAGTGGATAACATTATGGGGATCTTTGGAATGATATTACCTTACTTTTGCATATTGGTTTTTCTAAGCCCCCTTTTTATGAAATGGTTGCGATGTTATAACCCATGGGAGTATGAAATTTCATGCTGTTTAGGCATAAAGCAATCAAGAAATTTGCTATATGCAACTTTATGTTTCTAGTTACACATGTCACATTTTGATACCTGGGTTGATCAATGTTTCTCCCTATGAGTCATAACAACATTTCCCTTTTCAAAGTAACCCTTAGAAAGTTAATTGAAGAAAGGGAGTCTTGATGGGTTAGGTAGCTAGGCTAGCCTAAACCAAACTGTGGTGTGCCTGGCACAACCTGTTTGTATGTGTACACACACACACACACACACTATGTTAACAATCAACAAAAAGGGTACCCTTAGAGGACTTTGTTCTTTTGTCCAAATACTTAATCAATGCTGACTAGTTTTTTCTTTCTTTCTTGCTTTCTTCCTTGTGTGATATCTAGTTGGTTAAACCATATTAGGTACACAAATGCTTGCTCTTTCTTCAAAGTTGCATGGCTTTTGATTGTTTTTTTGGTCATTTTATTGGTGCAGCCTGACCAATGTGCAAGGTTCTTTTGTTGAAGGTGACTGCACTCCTTTAAGGTCAGCATATGATGACTTTCTTTGCTCTTGAAATACCACTATCTTCACTATTTAGTGCCTGATTTATGTGGTAATTCTTATAGTTGCTTACATTTCTGCTGTCTTTGATTCTCTGATGATGATGGACTTCTAAACATTTTTGGGTACATTTGGATGATATTAAGCATGCTTGGCAATGAGTCTGTCTCTGTTAAACAGGCTTGCTATACACAACTGTTGTACATGCAATCAGTCTGTGATGGGTGTGGGTGAAAGGGCTGAATAGAAAGAGGAAGTTGATTTTCTGTACTATTCCTTCTGCCCACATTTGATCAGTCTGGACTGAAAGAATTGAGCAAGCTTCCAAAGGTGTATTTACAAGAGAGTAAGAGAAAGGTGGTGGGGAGAATTTGCTCTTGGGCTGCTGCTAGCAGTATTTTTAAGAACTTGTTTGAGGATAGGGGGTGGTTTTGGGTTACATTTGCATTTTTTTGGGGGATTTGGTCCTGGACTCGGTTTGTTTTCTGAGTTTATAATTAATACTTCATCTTTCTCAGAAAAAAGTAAAAAAAAAAAACTAGCTTACCAAATGATGGTGGAATTGAGAGATATTTTAACCAAAATCACATTTGCATGGATGTTATTTTTTTATAGGCTTTGGATGTAAATGATTTTCTGCGCCAATGAATCTTACATGGCAAAAACGAGTGCTTTTGTTCAATAATATTGTGATACTTAATAGCTATTTTTCAGTATCGTAGTTTTTATTATTGATTATGCATATATTAACATTTTCTATAGTTTTCTTGCAAGTTTACATTCTCCATATTCCATCTCATCTTTGAATGATTGGAATTTTCCTTGAAATTGAAATTGGAAAATGGAAACTTTGATTTTAAGTATTATAAGATGACCATGTTTTCTTTAGGGGGTGAGTGGGGGGGGGTATGTGGGACAGTGGAGGCCTATCATCTATGTTTGGAGCTTATTCCTAGTTGTACTATTTATTTTTTCTGTTTAATTTTGACGTGTTTCTTCATTAACTCACTGCTGGTTGAAAACATCAGGTCCACGTCATTATTCATGGTCAATGGAATCCATGAAAGGTCTTCGGCGCTCAAGGTTAGTCCTTGGATAATATTGTAAACTACACATTCACCTAATGGATACTACTTATTTATTTTTGATCATTGTCTAATGCATACTATTTATTGCAGTTGCAAATTGGTGTCCGATATTTCTCATCTGCTGGTATAAAATTTCTTTCCTTTTTATTGTAAATATATCATAATCTTTGTAAGCACTTAAGTATTAAAGATATTTCTTAAAGAAGCTTCTGTAGTTTCGTTTTTCTTTTTTTTTTTTTTTTCTTCTTGTTCCAGTTCATGGTGGTGGTTATATTGTGGACTGATTGTCCTTTGACTAATTTAATTGGTAATGTTAGAATGACCAGTGAAATTTAATATGTGGTACTGGGTGAAGACTAAGTAGAGGTGTAAATCGGGCTGTGCTGGGCTGGCACGGCATGGAACTGTGGGCCAAGCCATGTTTTTTTTTTTCAATTTTGAAAAAAATAATAAAATGTTTAACATAAATTTTGAAAATAGACAAAAGATTAAAAAAGATCTTAAAATTTTATTTTATATGAATTTTGATGTATACAATTGTTTATTTTATTTTGAAAAAAGGTAAGGTAAATTTTATTAAAAAGAAAAAAAAAGAAAAGTATGCAAGAGGTATACAAAAGGACACAAAACCACCCGAGTACAACCAGTCAAGGGCTAGAAACAGCCAAGCAAAAACAACACCCTAGACAACAACCAGCACCAGAGCCTCATACTAAACTAAACCGAAAGGCAATGCACTCCGATTACAAAGGAAAGCATAAGGAAAACTCTAACAGGCCGAGGTGCTTCTACGTCTACCTCTTCTACCCCTCCCCCTGGTGCTGCGTGCCCCTCGGGAAGGAGGATTTGCTACTGGTGAATCATAACAATCCACCAATAACTTGGATTTTTCCCCCCCAGATGGGAACATCGAATGCATTGGAGAAAGATCCGACCAAGAGCTCTCTGTCTCCACATCCGTATCTGATCCAGAAACTCAGTCCATCCAAGAGGTATAAACGTTTGCCTTGTCGGCAAGCTTAGCACTAAACCAATCCCATAAATGCGGTTCTTGCTCCACTGGGTAGGACACCCCAAGAAACTTTCCGAACTCCAACACTTTCTCCACCTGATCTTCAACCAACTGCACAGAACACCCTTCCTCCTCTTGCTTGTCAGAAGGGGGCTCACTCACCAAACACCCCTCAAAACTGGGCTCACCTTGTGTCAGACAAAGTGTCAAACTTGACTGCAAAACAGTTGGACTTCCAGTCTTAGAAGAAGGAACTTGGGAAGCAAGATTTCTTTCAACACCATGTGAAGGGGGCTTAATTCTCTCAAACCTTTGCCAAATGGCTTTCAAAGGAACAAGGGCTTGAGAGGTCCCTGTCCAATTTTTATATATGCGATAATAAAATGAAATAATATAAAATAAAATTATATCTATCTATCTATCTATATCTATATCTATATCTATCTATCTATCTATCTATTATATATGTGTGTATGTATGTATGTATGTATGTATATTTGTTTACTTTATTGTCATTTGTGTTATCATGTTCTATTTTAGTTGGTGATGCCATTTGTAACTTCCTGTTCTAGTGAAAGCTTGGATTTCAGAAAATGGAAAAACCTATAGAGGTATAGAGATAAAAAATTTGTGCCTGGGCAACTATTCCCCAAAACTCTTGAATGTATAAATGAAATTAGGGGATAAGTAGCTGGGTCTGGCTTATCAATTATTAGGTATATAAAGCACATCTGTGTTCTATTGTAAGTTTTTTTTTTTTTTTCACATATCAATAAAAATTAAGTTAACAATAAAAAACTCAATCTCATATTTATAAGGCATATAATAAGATGTATGAAGCTCTTTATTATTTTTTAGTTTTTTTCATTGTATTTGCCTTGTGATAACTCTTTTGTTTTTTTTTTTCTAATGGATCTTATGCTAATAGTATTTCCTCTTCTACATCTCGTCCTAACATGGAGAAGAAACAACATAGTTAGTTTATTGCATTAATAAATTACTTCGGCTTAGAGGTGTGACAGCATGTGTTTACTGAAGAGAAAAGATAAATATAAATTGATAATAGCATATATCTGTATGCATATTTCTTTTCCTAGATTTTGAGAAATGAAGAGAAGAGGCACCCCAGTCTCCTGTATCAGTGCCTATACCCATATCCTTATCTGGGCATGTTAGTTGCTCAAAAAAGTCAAGAAAAAAAAAAAGATAAGGAAATTCCATCTTCAACAGCATAAAAACAAAATTTGCATGATTATTCTAGGTCATGTTTATTAAATAAGTTAACATGCTCATCAACAGAGGGTATTAGGTCTTCTAACATTAATGACTAAGTTGCTATGGCAGAGACTCCGCATACTATTCTTGAAATGCCAGCCCTCTCCCCTACAATGGTGAGTAATTGGGAAGAGAATTTGAGGCCTACACCTTTGATTCAGTTTCTCAATTTATTTTTCTGCTGTATTGTATGCTTACGGTGCAGTTCTATATTCCTATGCAGAACCAAGGTAACATTGCAAAGTGGAGGAAAAAAGAAGGAGATAAGGTATGCATGAATTGTATAATGCATGAAGGTTATTGTAGTTTTCTAATACTAATTTGCTGTTGCATCAGTAATTCTTGTTTTGTTGACTTTTTACTTGACCTAACAGATAGGAGTGGGTGATGTAATATGTGAGATAGAGACAGACAAAGCTACTCTTGAGTTTGAGAGTCTTGAAGAGGGGTAATTCTATTTTCCTTACTGCTGACTTTATGCACTTGGTAGCTCAGTGTAAGATTCATGTTATACATATACTGATGCATGGTTTGGACCTATGTTTTTCTTCAGAATTTGCATAATCATTGAAATAGAGTGGTTTAAGGGTGCTGCCACACTTGATACCAAGTTGGTGATCACAACAGAGAAAAAAAGAATAAAAATTACCAGAAAAAGAGAGTTTTAAGGGTGCTGCAACACTTAATAGGTAGAAAGGAGAAGGGAGAAAGAAGAAAAGAAGAGAGAAGGGAGAAAAAGGGTTTGAAGAAGTCCCAAATTGTGGGTATCAGAGTGCTGTCCCACTCACCTAAATATGTTCTTTAAACATAAAAGAAAAATTATATCTTCACCCTTAATAAGGGCGGCAGAAACTAGAAAAAGAAATAATAAATGGCCCAAGGCCCATTAAGACAGAACAGCATAATAGTCCAACAATAAATAAAAAAACAGAAAATATAATCTAAGGCCTATCTTTGATAACAGTTCTCTCTCTCTCTCCCTCTCTCTAAATAGAGGTATTATATTCAGAAAGAGGGAGAGGTTCCCTCAAACCATATGTTTATCAAGCAGAGCTCAGAAGCATATACAAAAAGAGAATTAGAACACAAAATCCATGTTAAATTTGGAAATTATCATAAAGAATAATATGTTCCCAATTGCTATAAAAGTATTGGTATTTCAGTCCACCAAACTCCTTGGCTCAGCTGGACAAGAGGATGATGGTTCATTGGTTCTCTCACCCTTCCCCAGTAATTGATCCAAGGCCCTGGCCTTGCTTATGAATATTTTTCTATTTCTTTCATTCCAGATCAACCAGCAGATGGCAGGAGACTCTGGCTTCCATAAGATAATTCCTCAGGTGTAACCCATTGTTTATTGAGCAGCTTTAAACAATGAGTCAACACACTATAAGAAAAGTGGCATTGAACCAGCGGATGTGAGACCAATTTTTGTTCCAAGTCACACATACAACCAGATTATTTTCCAGATGAGCTCCTTCCAATAATAAGTGGTCAATGGTGAGAATCCTATCGAGCACCAATGCCATAAGATGAAAGATACTTTGGATGGGTACTTGCAGTTCCAGATCCACCTTCCATGGCACTTGTTCACTGTTATCCTCTGACAACACTGAATAGAAAGATGACTTAACAGTGAACATAGCTGATGTTTCCAGCTTCCACCCTTTTTGTCCTATCGTTTTCTCATTTTTTCTACTACACATTAGTTTGCACTCTGGTTATGTACTTAGAATATAACATTTTAATACTTCTTCAGATGCTCTCTTCTATTGTGAATTTATTAACATACAATGCAAGATCGTTTATATATTCACAGTTTTTTGGATGTAGGTGGGGGGAGTAGCATAAACTATTCTGGAGACATTAGGATATTAGATAGAATTTAAGGTCCAAAAACAGTAGTTCCTTTCCAGATTATTGGGGGATGCAAAGGAGATGATGTTTCAGGGGATTCACCTGTTTAAGCTTGGTTTTGGGGGTTGACCTGTTTCTGGGGGTAGACAGGCCTTATACTGATCCCCCTGAACAGGTTTGAAAAAACTAAAAATAAATAAATAAATAAAAGCGCCTAACAATACAGACCGGTATGCCCCATCTGGCGTATCAGCCTGTACGAAAATGTTTTTGTAATGATGCCCTACTTATTGTTTAGGTATTTCATGGCTTATTTCTTCTGTTTCTCAAAAAATTAACCTACTATCCCAAATTTGTTTTGGATATTTCAGCTAACCCACTTGATTTTATATATATTGAGTGACTGAAGTGCAAACCACAAATGATGTTAGGACATTGGTCAGATTCCCTTCCTCCTTCCACCCCTCCTTTTTTTTTCTCCCCATTCTTCATCAGGTTGAGCAGTTCTGCTGTGATTTGTACTTATGCGACAGGCATAAATGACTCATTTATTTTTTTAATAATTGACTTTTAATGATTATAATTTTTATTCATTTCAAATAGTGGGTGCTTGGGCCATCCTTGTACATACTTTCTCTGATTTTCTAGCAAATATTCTATGCAGATTCCTGGCTAAGATACTAGTGCCAGAAGGTTCAAAGGATGTGCCTGTGGGACAACCTATTGCAATAACAGTAAGTTGTGATAATTTCTATGTATGTGCTAATCATTATCTGTCTGTCTCATTGAGTACTATGTCTTATTTGATTGTTAATCTTGTTAAGTGTGAAATACAGAGGGGAGTGCTCTCCACATAGTTTTGTTGAACTAGAAGATACAGCTACATCCTGTTTTTCTGTAATTTCTATGGGAGTCAAGTATACTTAACACATTGTATATTTCTAACATCAAACACCATTTGGTTTCAAGGTTGAGGATGCCAATGATATAAAAAACGCTCAGGCCATTGACAGTGGTTCTGAGGCCAAAAAGCAAAAATCACCTGATGAAAATGGAGAGGAGGCGCAAAGCACAAATTCTGCTGGTATCAACTTGTCAGAGCTTCCTCCACATACTGTTGTTGAAATGCCAGCATTATCCCCTACAATGGTGAGAAAATGCATACAAAGATTTGATGCCAGTATTTCATTTTCTCCTGCTGGATTTTATTCTTTGCTTCCAGACACTTTGGTCACATTTCTATGTGCTCCTCTGCAGAATCAGGGAAACCTTGCAAAATGGAGGAAGAAGGAAGGAGAAAAGGTCAGTCGCGTTTAAATTCAAGTTATTGCAGTTCTGTTATCTCTTCTTTTCTCCTGAGTATATACTAATTATTATCTATTTGTCAAGACCCATTTTCTTGACTATTTGCTTATTCTAACAGATAGAAGTGGGTGATGTCATTTGTGAAATAGAGACAGACAAAGCTACTCTTGAATTTGAAAGTCTTGAAGAGGGGTAAGTCCATTTTTCCCCTACTAGTGTGCTTATAGTTGGAATTTGGAAAGCAGACAATGTAACTGATGCTGGAGATAAATGTGATACTTTGGGCTTGTCTCTATTTCTTTAAGGTTCATATCAAACCTTACAAACAGAATCTTTCATCTAGACAGCTCCTTTAAATATCATTGATTTGCATTCTCTTCTTTGTTTTGTGAGTGTGGCAGACATTTGGATATTGAAATGGATGAGTAGTAAAACTAGAAATAATATTATGCTGGACATATTTCTTTTTATATTTAATAAAATTGATGATTACTTATCAACAAAGGTGAGTTTATCCATGGAGATGTAGGAGTTTCTCTGATAGTTGATAAAATGAGAGAACGAATTAAGATGATTTTGGTATCTGATAAAAGACAATATAGCGACAGCAAGCAGTGGTTTGATGCAAGTTGAAAGGTCTAGAAGAGTGAGCATCAGGTCAAGAAGAACATGGGTTGTGGTAGTGAAGAATGAGCTGAGGTTTTACAGTTTTTCCATGGCTATGGCCCTAGATTGTTTGGAATGGAAAATCAAGTTTTGGCTAGCTGACTCCAGATGGTGGAAATAAGGCTTTGTTGTTGTGGGTTTGTTCTTTTTTTTTTTTTTGATCAATAACATCAACTTCATTAAATTAAGAGAATAGAGGGAAAAGAATACAAAGGGAGATAAAATAACTTAGCTCCCCAAAAACAGAAAACACAGGGAATGCAAAGAAAATTAAAAACTAGCCCAAAAAACAGCCTCCCTATTCACTCCT